TTTGTTTGTTTGTTTGTTTGTTTGTTATTTTAAAAGAGCTAAAGTGAATAGAGAGCAATACTGGTAAATGATGGTACATGGAAGGGAATGCAATCATTGTGATGAAACAAGTTGTATTATTTATTGAATGTAAAACTGATGATCTGCCCTGCTGTAAACTTTCACTCAATCTACAATAAAAACTTAAAGAAAAAACAAAAAAACACTGTTTTATTTGGATGATGAAGTAAGTCAGTATAGCATAGTCACCCACTTGGAGCACACTGCTAGTTAATAACCTCGACATCTCATTATTCCCATAAAAATCTTGAATTGTATTTTCTTTCATTTATTAAAGCTGAATAACACATTCATGTAGAGCAGGAGTAGGAAATTCCAGCCCATGGACCATATGTTGTTGTTGTGGTTATGTGCCATGGAGTCGGTTCCAACTCATAGTGAACCCTGTACAGGGTGTCCAAGGCTATAAATCTTTACGGAAGCGGAAAGCCTCATCTTTCTTCTGCAGAACAGCTGGTAGTTTGGAACTGCTGAGACTGCTGAGACCTTGCGGTTGGTTCGCAGCCTGATTCGTAACCACTATGCTACCAGAGCTCCTTCATGGACCATATAAGGCCCACAAAGTCGTTTGGTCTGGCCCTGCCAAGATAACCACAGTTCCAGCCATCACATTTTGTTATAGTTGTTAAGTGCTGTCAAGTTGATTCCAACTTACAGCAACTCTGTATAGGGTTTCTGAGGAGAGACTGGTGAATTTGAACTGCCAACCTTGTGCTACAAACCAACCCTGCAGTACAATGCATTATCCTGCAGCGTACACAAGCTTGAGTGAATTAAATGTGTGACCAATTTCGTTGTTGTTATGTGCCTTCGAGTTGATTCCGACTCATAGATACCCTGCATAGGGTTTCTGAGGCTGTAAATCTTTATGGGAGCAGAAAGCCTCATCTTTCACCCGTGGAACAGCTGATCGTTTTGAACTGTTGACCTTGCGGCTCGCAGCCCGATTTAATAATTTTGTATGGCCCACGAATGATATTGTAAATTTTGGCAGAAAAAGGTTGCCACCCCTGATCTAGAGGATGTTTTTGCCTCTATAAAATTACCGATAAGAGTTGTTTTTGTTTTTTTTGTTGTTTGTTTTTTTTTAAAGAAAACTTACAATTTTATTTTGTTGGAAAAAATTACAATAAAACACACACCAACTTTCTACATGTCCATTTATAACAGTTTATTCTTTGAGTTGTACCTCCATTCCCACTCTCCCTTTTCAGAATGGTTCCTCGCTCAGTGACAATCGTAATTGCCCCATAGGTTTTACTTTATCTTCTGAGTTCCTGTTGTCAATTTGATGCCTTACAGTTCTTAAAAGAGCAAAATGTTCAGGAAGACATTCTAGTTAAGTTTATATACGGTTTGGTTTTAAGACTTCAGGAGATATTTTGGGGTTAAAGAAAAAAGATTTTAATATCATTTCAGGTTTTTGATACTACATCAAAATGTGACTTATGGTAGTATCTTAAAAATTAGCTAAAATGAAGACTCAAACCACATTAATAAACTTTGTACTATTACATTGAAATAAACTGGTGTCTCTTACAGAGAATGCATTTTTAGCTATGTATAACTTTGCAGTATCATTTGGAAAATATTGCTTTACCAAGTAATGCAGTCTAAAGTTGGCATATGACAATAAACAATATCAAAAGGTTCACATTTGCCATCACCTGTCTGATGAAACTTGACCACCATGCCAAGTTCATGGTTATCCATAATCCTAATTATTGCATTAAAGCTTGCATTTTGTCATGGCAATAA